AAAAAAAAAAAAAAAAAGTGAAAGTCCCATTTCACAAAATAGTAAAAAGTTCTTCGGTGATACTTGAAGAATAATTGTCTTGGAAAAATTTCATTAATTATTTTTCTTTTTCTCTTTAAATAGAATTCTCGTAACAAATAAACATGTCGATTAGAAAAGAAACGAACGAAAAAAAAAAACATATATATATATATTTTTTTTTTTTATCCCTGAAGTGATCACTGTTGCCCTCTTTACTAGGATCGTTTGTCGAACCTTCCTTCACTTTCTTTCTTTTTTTTTCTCTCTCTTGCATTTTTCTCTTTTTTCTTAAAGAACAATAAATTCGCATCGTTTCGCCGTGTATCTAAGTGCGAAAATCCACGTGTGCTGCGTGTACTACTGGTAAGTAATAATCAAAGATAATCGCTATTTGTAATTAAAAAGCTGCTTCTCATTAGCGCTGCGCCGCTGCTCCTCTCGTTACAAAGTAACTACGAGTCGTTTAATCGTTTACATCGAATGTATCGGTATCATTTACAGCCTAAAATACTGAGCAAAGAACGAATAGATCTGATGATCGACGATCCCCTCTATATACTTTAAAAATTCATCCCTCTCGCCGCACATTCTTCCTTCCACATTCACTCCTCGCAAATTTTTTAACATACCTATACGCAAGCGTACGCTTCCTCTCGAGAATTTTCGATTTGTTAAATTTAAGTTACTATCAATAATAATTTCAATTTATCAATAACGGTGTCGCCGTTCCCTTCTTTTATCCCGAACACGATTCAAAATATTGCTTCGAATCAAATCCAACGAAGATTTAGTTAACATTAATACTCACTCGAGGTAAGATATGTAATTTCGATCGTCCGTTTATCTTCTTCTTCTCCCTCTTTCTCTCTCTTTTTAAATATTAATTTACTTATCTATCACCGCGCTCGTCAGATCGTTAAATATAGCTCGAGATCAATTTCCAACTTTTATTGTCAACCGCAACATCGTATCGTCGGTAACATCTAACATCGACGAACGTTTGGAAAACGATTTCAAACGGGGGGATGATCGGAGAGGATCGTCGGTCGTCGCTTTTTCACTCTTGTCGCTGCGGTGATAAGTCGCCGGAGGGGCAGGGAGGGAGGGACGGGGTGAAACAAAGTAAACTCGGGAGGTCGAGAACGAAAAGAGAGGAAGAGAAACCAACGGTACGCTTAGGAGCATTGATTAATTCGAGATATCTTGTAAAAAATTTTCTTTACAACGTGTGCACGTATACACACATACACACATACACACACACACACACACACACACACGCGCGCACGCACGCACGCACGCACGCACGCTTCGCCGCTTAGTGTATATACGCGCACACGCGCGTGTATGTATAACATGTATATATATATTTATATACCGTTTATTGCGCAGGCAATTGTTACTTCATCTTCGTGAGAGACTTCTCTTTAACTTTCTTTTTCTTTTCTCACTTTTTTTCTTCTTCTTAGTCGTCCCACCGTATTTTCAA